ATGTTACCATCAATAAAATAAGAAACTGTCGGAAATAATAAAATATGGGTGTCTATCAACGAAACTACTGATGTAAGTGGTAGATTTGTAGCGAATGTTGTTGTTGGTATGCTGAAAGATGACCAGCCTCGAGATATATTCCTATTGGCATGTAAGGTGTTGGAAAAAGTGAATAATTCTTCCATTGCTGTTGTTTTCGACAATGCGATGAATTTGCTGTGGCCAAATAAGGTAGAACGAGAGAATGTGCTCCTCTTCTTAACGGATGCCGCTCCATATATGGTAAAGGCAGCAAAGGGACTTCAGGTACTGTATCCCAAAATGATTCATGCAACGTGTCTCGCACATGCTCTGCATAGGGTAGCAGAAGAGGTGCGAGAGAGCTACTTTGATGTAGATAAATTAATAGCAAATGGGAAGAAAATTTTTGTTAAGGCTCCACTTCAATTGCACAAGTTTAAAGAAGAGGCTCCATCACTACCCCTTCCCCCTAAGCCTATTCTAACACGATGGGGGACTTGGCTCGATGCTGCAGATTATTATTGCACACACTACAGTGTGATTGAAAATATCTTCATGAAGTTTGACAGAGATGATTCATCTTCAATTCGAACTGTACAAAATTTGTTTTCATCAACCACGTCAAGAAATCTAGCGTACATAAAATCAAATTTCAGTGTGATATCAAAATCCATCATTAGACTTGAAGCTGTGGGCATGCAACTGTGCAATGCATTACAAATTGTTAAGAAAGTTGAAAGTGAACTACATCAAGCACAGGGCGAAGTTGCTGTGAAAATCAGTGCAAAATTACAAAATGTGCTCCAACGAAATCCTGGATATTCAACACTGTGTACAATTTCTGACATTCTTTGTGGCAAAGAAGTTGAATTTGACAACAGTGAATTAGAACTTGACGCAAGTGATTTGACTTGTTTTAAGTATGCCCCTGTGAGTAGAAAGGAGTTTCTCCAAATACAAGGCCATTGTTAGTGACAATCGGAGGTCCTTCAAGTTCGAGAATTTGAAAATGCATGTTGTCATTCAGTGCAACTCTACTGAAAAGGAAGATTAAGGTACCGTACAAATTATTTACCTGCGACTATTAGCACACTTTACTTTACTTTTCACGCTAAAATAAACAATACTTTTGTTCATGTTTTCTCTTTACAGGGTTAGCATTGTGTTGTGATGGATGCTTCACGGCTTAAAGACATTTATTCAGAAAAAATAATTTTGTACACTTTTCCATAAAACGCCATTCAGCTTTTCTCTTTATGGGGTCAGCAATGTGCTGTGATCGATGCTTCAGAGCTTAAAGATATTTATTCAGGACAAAATAACTTTGTAAACTTCTTAATAAATTGCCATTCTTAGGAATTTTTGTTAAATATTTACTTATTTTTTGTGGGCCATTCTGTCATATTTTGCCATTTTTAGGGCATAAATGCATGCATATTTTCAAAGTTTTAGGCCATAGAAATCCGAGCCCTACTTATCACATTACAGAGTTAATAGTCAGAAATAATCCATGCTTCCAAATGCAGAAATTCAAACAGAATGAAAGCCACTTTTACCTCTTATCGATGGTGACACCAGACAGTCTAACAAGAGCCCTCATGCAAGGAGATGTAATCAACAAGTCTTCATTTGGTCCTGCTGAACTATCAAAACTTAACACCTGATCACATACAAACTGGGCATGGCGCAATAAACTGTCCTCTGTCAGTGTAGAAAATCCACTAGGTGGTACCATGGTCTGGAACATTAGCACCAAATTTGCTTACAATAGCCAGCAATAGAGATATGGGTAGCTTCAATAGAAACATAGAGGGACCCAAAAAATGTATACACACTATTCCACTGCCATTTACTTTAACTCTCCTGCCATTCAAAAGGTGGCTCTGGCATTCATGTGACTAGCATCATCATCTGAGAGAACACTACATACTGTACATAACATTTAGGTTCAACTTTGAAAACGTTTATAGATAACCTCTATTAAAGTATATATACTTTTTTTGGGGCCCCTCAATGAGTTTTATTCAGGATATCCAGTTCAAACCTCAGATGACAGACAAACTATCCTGATACACTGAGTATCAAACACATGGATTTTCATGTTGCATGGTTCAGTCAATAGAAACTGATGACAGATGCATGGTTTCAGACACACAGCTAATTTAGAAAGTGTTCATCTGTTGGCAGTGTTTCAAATTTTAATAAACAAACAACAAATAACACACAGTTTTGGAGAAAATTCATATTATAATTTTTTTTAATGTCCATCTTTGTCATGGGGAAAACATTCAGTATTCAACGTACTCAGGACTTGATCCAGGTGAACGATGAACTTGTGCCTTGACAAACACTGCAACACCTTCTAATCCCACTCATTCCATTTCAACACAAAATAATCTTTCAGGCTGACATAGCACTGTTAAACAATCTATGAACCAGACAACTATAATTGCTAATAAGTGGAAACACAATATACCAGCTGTTTTCACACTGTATACCACGGAACCCTAGGATTTCACAAAGAGATCTCTATGGTTACACACAAGTTAATAAAGCAAATTTTTAATATCCCAATTATTAGATCAACACTGGAAGAATGAACCAATGAGTGCAAGTATTATATTCTACCATTGCTTAGTAAAACCCTGTTCCATACATCAACACATGTGACATGAAAACATCAAATTTTGGTTAGACCTCAACATGTTCATTTTTATGTTTTGAGTTGAAACATGGCCCCTCATTCCTGCTGAAGGAACAGACATGGCATTTGAGAACAAACTGCTGAGGAGACATGTACTTCAGAAAATGTAACAGGATGCAGAAAATTATATGATGGGCTTCATAATTGGTACTGTCGATAAATAATGTGATGCACAGACCCATTGAAGAAAGCAGTCTTCTGGGATTTGGCACCGTGTATATGTGGTGTTAACCGACGTTTCGGAGGAACGTATCGCCTCCATCTTCAGGGTAGAAGAAAAAATATATAAGAAATCTTCAAGCAAAGAGACCGTGAGAACCGGTAAAAGCAGACTGTGGAAAAATACACAGCTATGTGAGAGCAGTGAGGGAGAAGGGGGAAGGGCAAGTATACAAGTGAAAGCAGTAGTGTGGGAGGGGTAGGGGAAGGGAGCTGGGACAAGCATGGTTTTTGTGTAGGGGAGAGAAAGGCAAGGTTGAAGGCTGGGCATCACCCATGAGCTGAGGGGTTGGGGTTGTTATGTGGTTGGTCATGGCCTGTGTGGCCTTCTGGNCATAACAATCCCCACCCCTCAGCTCACGGGTGATGCCCAGCCTTCAACCTTGCCTTTCTCTCCCCTACACAAAAACCACGCTTGTCCCAGCTCCCTTCCCCTACCCCTCCCACACTACTGCTTTCACTTGTATACTTGCCCTTCTCCCTCACTGCTCTCACATAGCTGTGTATTTTTCCACAGTCTACTTTTACCGGTTCTCACGGTCTCTTTGTTTGCAGATTTCTTACATATTTTTTCTTCTACCCTGAAGATTGAGGCGATACGTTCCTCCGAAACGTCGGTTAACACCACATATACACGGTGCCAAATCCCAGAAGACTGCTTTCTTCATAGTCACCACCGTGAAAGCCTCAAATCTTACACAGACCCATTGCTAGGCAATGGCCACAACACATACGCGGCCAACAATACAGGAGCAGTGTTTTCTGTGGGTCTGCACCAATGCAGGTGTTTTCTGTGATGCATGGTCCGTGCTGCATCTATATAAGTGAGCTGAATTCCGAGGCTAGGAGCTGTAGGAGTACAGTAGAGAGTACAGAGAATTGGAATACAATGGCATGCAACGGAGTATGAAAGAGAATATGAGACTGAGAATTGAGTTCAGTTGTCAGCAGGAGATAGCCACAGGAAGTTAGTAGTTGAAGAAGAACTAGAAGTCATCCTGTGAAGACTTAGTGTGTGATTAGAAGATTTAGTCACAGTGAGACTGTTTTAATTCCTTTACCAGGGTACGACTAGTGAAGAATGAGAATCCTACTGTGTGTGTGTGTGTGTGTGTGTGTGTAATAGTGAAATACCAACTGTGTAAATCAACAATAGAGCAGTACTGCTCATAAGTATGAGTTGATTCTATAATGTGTTAGTAAATCTATTCACCTATCCAAACCCTGTCTATAGTCAGTGAAGCAAGTGACAATATTGTTATGGTTTTCAAGTAAAGGATGAAACAGCCAAGACATACTGCATGTATGGGAAAGCTGAAGGGGGAACCACATAATACCACTTGAGAACTTTAGCCATGAATGGCAGGATAACGTCAAGAATCTTAAAGAAAAATGGGATGCATATGTGTGTACTGGATTCATCTATCTCAGGATGTAGCCTGGACAGCAGACTACTATACACATGATACTTCAATATCAGGTGGAAAATGCTTTGACTATCAAAGAAGATACCACCTTCTTAGACTGCTTCATAGAGCTGGATGGTTAATAATATATCTCCATGAATTAATTTTCATGCAGTCATTCATTCATGGTTTGCATCTGAACATGAAGCTTTTTCTAAGTAAATAATATACTAGTTAGAAGAAAGGACCATCACATTTTCGTGAAGACAGGTGCCAATACCTGCAGTTTGTTGAGAAGATCCTCATATGTTGTACTGATATCTTCCAGGAGAAATTCAATCACTACTTTGCTGATAAAAATTTTCTCATTAACTATTTCCATGAATGGAGCATAACTTTCACTTGGGTCCATCAAGTAATATTCTCCAAATGCTGTTGAAAACCCCACAAGAGCCTTCTCACCTCCATCAAAACCAGACACCCACCATTCATTAATAGGTCCCAGGTCCTTCGTTGGAATGCCACCTACAAACATGAAACAGAAAACATCTATGACATGAAAATTTCCTCTGGTGTTCTTCCACCTTTGTACTTCCAATATTCATGCAATGAACCAGAAATACAATTCCATTTGGCAAAATGTTCTAACCACAACACAGATTGAACAAAAAATACCTTTAGAACTTCCAACAGATGCAAAAATTAATGCCATTATACCCAAACAATTGCTATGTATCTAGAAGTTTCACTGACTGCAACATTTTAGTGTCTGCCAACTGTGATATGACACTTCTACAAGGTACTGAGGAGGCAAACTATCTTACTGAAAAATTAAACTTCTTTGTGTCCACTGGCTTTGAACTGCAATTTCTTTTTTAAGCATTTCAATGTGTGATACTAGGTAACAATTCGTTCCTACAGAATTTCCAAAGTGACCACCCATGGTCAGGGGGTGAATTAATGTGGATAATGTCTGGCTTTGTTCGCTATTCTTGACACCAATGAATTTCATATCACTCCTCATATTCTTTCGTATATGGTCTTAAACATTCCTTGTTTTTAATAACCTCACCTTCAGGATCAGGACTCTCCTCATAGATTGCCTTCATGTACCCAGAGAAATATAACAAGACATTTTGCTCAATGAGTCCATTGTCAAAAGGACACAGATGACCTTCTTTGTCATACACACTGAAAATAAAAGCATTATCAAAATATAAAAAAAAAAATACCAAGTCAAACACGAAATGATAGAATTCCACTAATTTGCCACAAAAAGAAATCTATCTCAACAAGCAGCCCATACTGAACTACCTTGTAATAATATAATCTTGACTCTCACTAACTTGGTGATGACAATAAATACACAGTTTAGCTACAATAAAATGAGAATGAAAACATCATTATAATGAGAAAAATCATGACATCAACTTCTTAATACTACATATATGGAAAATTATTGCATAACAGGAGGGGGGTTTCTGGCACATTCATTATAATAAGATATTTCAGACTAGCTGCAAGTTTATTCTACAAATTTTTGCATTGAAAATACTTGTACTTTACTTCCCAAGCTGTTCATAGTTGGCAGTTCATAAAGCTACCACTAACACTCCATTTTCTAGAAGAATGTCACATTACAAAATCTGAAGCCTGGAAGTCAGAACAGAGGATTTACTCAATTTTTGTTCAGAATTGTTTGTTAATGTCCATCTGCAGAGGTGTGCTAATATGTGATCAATGACATCAGCTGACAAAGAGCAAAACACAAAGACTGTATGAGTTGACTTCTCTACTACTGTTCACACTTCTGAAGAAGGAAACAAAACACAGTCAACTGTTGCATGTGATGGAAGACCAAGAACATACAAACAAATGTGCAATGGTGACAGTGAAAACTTAAGTCTTTGGTTGGTTTTGCCAGTAAGGATCAATTGCCATAATAGCCAGTGAATAAATGACCAAGGCAAACATCAACCATTTCTCAGCACAGTTAATGATCTGGAATTTTCAGTATTCAGAACATTGGTATCTTGTGGCACTAGAAAACTCAGATTACCCAGAAATAAATTACATTCATTATTTTGCAATTATGAAAATCCTGAATCTTAGCAGGATATGTGAGCCCCTAAACAAAGAACTAAAATATTTGGGTCTCTGCCTTTCATTTTGTGGAATTCTACTACAATTGTTTACAGCAAACTTCTTGCTAAGACACCATTAAATAGAATACATCAACAAATGGACAAAATCCTTCACAACTTGACAAAGTTTGTAAGCATCATCTCTCTCATGTGCTGCATACCATGCCCAGCTCATCCTCCTTGATTTGGCCACCCTAGTAATATCTAGTAATGAGTACAAATTATGAAACTCCTCACTATGTAACTTTCTTCATCCTAGATCCAAATATTTGTTATGTTGGCAACTCTCAGATACTGAAATATAATGTTAGAGTTGGCAACATCATAGTAAACAATTTAAGAACTAGGTTATGTCTTGTTACCTAAGTGATGTTTACTGTTATGTGTAACTACAGTTACGTGTGTAACAACAGTATATTTATATTGTTAAGTGTTGCTATGGTTATAAGCCTGTATGTATATATAAGGCGTACTTCTGTATCAAATAGCTCAGTCTTAATAAAGCAGGAGTAGAGTGAACACTGATTCTCACTTATCATTCGATCCACGTGAAGTAACAAAAATAACAGGTTATGGGCCCAGGATCGTATCATTGATAAGTGTAAAAAGTATAGAAGTGAAAAGTGTCACTTAAAAGTGATCCTTTGGACTGACGCCGCTATCAAGACAAAGAAACAAGTTTCATCATGGCCACTTGGAAGCCCTTGGTGAATATTGATAGGCTCAAAGGACGCGAAAATTATAGAGAATGGTGCTTCGATATTCAAAATATTCTAGTGATTGAAACTGTGTGGTCAGCAGTCGAAGGATATCCTGCAGAAGACACAACGCCTATATCCATCAAGAAACAAAAGGACGAGAAAGCAAGAGCCATCATTTGTCTGACATTAGAGCCCCAAGTTAAATCTTACGTCGTCCAGACAACAACAGCAAAGGAAGCCTGGGACGCGTTGGAAAGAACATTCAAAGATCAGAGAGTCAATAGTTGGATAAGTATTCTAACTGATTTGTGCTCTTTGAAACTTGAGGACTATAAAAGCATGCAGGAATATGTTAATGCCTTCATGTCAATAAATCTCAGACTAGTCTCAATGGACAAAAAAATAGATGATGAGCTATTAGCAGCATTAAT